CCTGACCCAATGAAAGGCAAGGAAGGTGGTCACTTTGTCCATAAAACGGTCAATTATTTATATCCCTGATGTTATTTGCAGAAAAAAATTGGCAGCCCGTCAATACTCAAATGCATCTTTTTTCGCTCGGTCAATAACCATGCTTTCCGCGATTATTTGACGAGGGCAGGGTTGTTATTTTTGCTGTTGTTGTTGTTAAGCTTGAAAAATCCGGTACTAAAATTTAATGAGGACAAAAGGCCACACACACACACACTCCAAAGTGAGCCACTCAGAGTAAGGTGAATGGATGGAATGTCGGGAGCAAAGACAAACAGATTTGACATCCAGGGACATTTTCCTATTGGCTGCTGTTTCATTGCTTTGGGCAATGTGATTTTGGATCCATACATGTGGGGCCACATTGTCAGCAGAGGGCAGTGTAAAATAAAAATCCACTGTTGTACTGTACTACGGTCCAACATCTATGCTTACCTTACAAACCCACACTGACCAGCATGGGTAAGTGTGTTCAAATAATCCCCACGGTCCGCCGTGGTGCTGGAAAGCCTTCGTCCAGCAAGCGGCATGATAAAAGGGCTCTATATACAAACAATACATGTGGGAAATTGATAAATTGTTCCTACTTTGAACTGGTACGAGTGTCCGTTGTTTATTTTATCCCAGCCCAGTCGAACCCCGGTGACCTGCAATTGATTCACGGGTGATGCACATCCGTGGCTGTCCGCCTCAAGTGAATATTGGTGCGGCGTGCATAAATCAGCGGTGGAGGAATGGAGGTGGCCAGGTGGTAACGCTGGCATCGCCACCCTCTCGTGTGCTGTGTTGGTCGCGGTTAGGTGCCTTTTAACCAGCTCTTGTGTGTACGTTCTGCGAGGATGAATCAGCGGTATTTGTTTCATTATGTTATCTCAGGTCTCCCTTTGCAATGGAGGCATTTGTATGAATGGGCTCTCAGATGATACTAGATGAAAGTGTAATTGATTTTAACATGTAAGTGGAGCACTCTGTCCTTTGTTTATGATGACAAACAGTGTACACACCTTGGTGAACCTGCTGCACCTGCATGAAGGCATCCCCACATTGTCAGTCGAACCCGGTGTGCTTGCCTAACGTGCGACCGCTCCCCGAAAGTTGTATGAACTTGAATTTCCATAATAAACTCTCCGTTTTCGGCTAAAGTGGATGGACTCTATAATTATGAATACATATTTAATTGGTGATTCAAAACATTGAGATACAAAATACAAACTCGCCCTCCTCCCCCCCCCCCACCACCAATCATTATTCCGAGGCTCATTTCACACACAGGTGATAAAATATGACACATTAATGTATGTTAAGTGTGCTATATTAAATGCTAAAGCAATGTTGAATGCTAAAGCAATGTTAAGGCAACGTGCGTTGGTTTGTGTGCATGCATGTAATATTCCACTCTCAGAACGTATTGACTGTCCACTATATATATACCTTTATATATAGATTTCCTTTATTGAATTTAAATGAAAGTGCATTGAGATGACATTTCTCTTTTTCAAGGTTGACATATATAGTGTAAATATATAACCTGGATGTGCCCCCCGCACATACCACTCTTATACATATCCTGCCTATGTGCCTGGGCAAGATATTTACAAATATCTGTGTGCTCTCTCACTCAGTCTGACTTTCTGCTTGCTTGGCTTCATTGGTGTCTGCTCCCATATTGGCCCAAATTCTCTTATGCCCCCCCCCCAACTGGTTTGTAATCCCTCGACGCATAACTGTGCATGCTTCAGAAGCAATCCAATAATGCACGCTATTCAGACTCACTCCACCGAGCTTTAATTATTGCCAATCAATCAAATGCACTGTATGCATGGAACGTCCCAGCTTTGGGTTGGCTACATGATCATAATAATTATTATTTATGCAACAACTAATGTAATGGAAGTGAACCAAAACACAGTAGTGGAACACATTTGTGTTGTTATTGGTCTTACGTGAGCAGTGTTTGCACAAGTCGAAGTTGGCGCTGATTATTTAGCAAAAGCCTTGTGAGTACGTGATTTTAAACTCACGCGGGGTTTGACTCACACACCGTCCACACAGTTGGAAATGCAGACGTTTTAGATAATTTGCCTACTTGTTGAAATGCGTTCACGGTGATGCACGGTCACACACTAATTTAGCGGCCAGGTTAAATTTACATCCCAAAATTTGCCCTGCATCGCTGATGAGCAGCGCACTGGTTATTGCCTATCATTTTACATGTTTTTAATGGAAAGTTATTCCTTCATTTTAACTGGATACAAGACAATGCTCCCTCCCTCCCACCAGCCAGCAAAACTTTTCAATAAAAAAATATGAATGAATGGCACAAAATAAAATGAATCTCGCTACAGAAAATGTCGAGCATGATTCAACAATTATCACGATGCATTAGACAATTTACAAGATAAATTAAATATTAGTTACAAGTAATTGGAAATTGCATTTACACGTTCTGTCATGAGATTGTTTTACGTGAATAAAAAAATATATTTTATATAAAATCTCTTTTTAATATAAAAATGTAACCGCACATATCAGTTGCAAATGCAAATCTCACATTTTGGTTATCTAGAAGGTGTTGAGTAAAGCTATTCTATTATTGTGATGAAAACCTTCAGCTAATGCTTATTTCATCATTAAGAATGTACAATGAGTTCTACGTTTGAAATAACGGCATCTGTTTACAAAACAAAGTCCAAAATACACGTCATTCCTTGCATATTTTACTTCCAAAATAATCATCGCATATTTCATGAAACCTAATTGCCAACATTCGATTGTAGTTGCTCTTTTAGGTAAAAAAAAAGTATAATATTCATATTGTTGTGAACAGCCGCTGCGAGAAAGCCGATGCATTGGTTTAAGAAGTGAATGACAATACCACAATCAAATAACTCTCCACTTGCTCCATTGCGAGAGGGCACTTGATACGCTAACTTCCCATTGAAATGAGAGCTCACTTGATCCACCGGTTTACCCTGCTCATGTTCATGCAAAAATTATTTTAAAAATGTATTTGTTCTCAGCCACGTCTGAAGTAGAATGTACGGATTTCTCGCGCATCTGGGAAGCCTGCCAATGCCGATGTTACTCTAAACTCCCTTTGCCTTCGTCGGAGAGAGTGACCCCATTGCGTAAGCGCTTTTAGGAGCGGATTGAGTGGACACAATCATTACTCGTCCACCATCCGCTTACTGCAAATGCCACCCCGACAACTGCTCTGAGCTGCATAAAACACAGGATGCACAATTGCTGGAGTATGCCACTGGTTTATCTAAATGTATATACATCTTACACCTAATGTGTGAAAATGAGACTCGGCCACTTTACACCCTTTGGTATAATTTCCCTGATGTGCCAAGCCATGCAGGTACACCCATGTCTGCATAGTGCTCTCGGAGACTCGGTTCATGTATCCAATGTGAGCCGGTGCTGTGCACAATCACGGCCATGCACAATTGTATAGATGGCATGAGGCCGTGCATGGGTAATGTGCGTTGATTTGTGGTGAGTATATGCGCGCACACATACTGTATTGTTGTATATGCAGTAAAAGCAAACTAACGCGAGTTTACAGCATGGAGTAGCCAACACAAGATGAGAAGATTAGGGGGAATATTAATATAATATTGCAAATTGCATGATTTTATTTAACGAGTAATTTATACCGCCATTGTGCACATTGACATTGTGTTTTATATACGTATGTAGTGATTTGGCAAAAAAACACTTCACTATGCTTGGAATATGTGATTAAAAAAAGCAATCTGGAACACCTTATTTGGCCGGGTTTGTTTTCCTGCGCCTTAAACAGTGCATGGCATATGCAGAGGCATGCGCACACAGCAGCTAAATAAACACGGTGATATTTACAGCGGAAGTAAGCGATAATTTCTTCATTGTGGAACTCATTTAGAATGAACCGCGCTTGAATTTATAATATTAACACGAGCATGAATATTGCACGGTCTGCATGCATGAGACACTCATTATAAATGGCATTAGGCCATGCATGGGTAATGCGTGTGGGTGTATAAATATTTATTTTTAATAAGTTTTGCTGATTTTATCACCCGAGCAGAGGTTAACGTTTCAAACTACGCCCATTAGAGTTAACCACCTCAGTCCCTACCCATACGTGAATGGAGCTGAGTTTGTTTGATTTAGAAAAGTTAAGAAGCACCAGTGAGAAGTTGACTCTTTCCACTTGTACATGGAAGCTTCCAATATGCATTACATGATCCAAGTCTAAACCATGCATACTACGTACCTTAGACAGCCTCATCCATTCACATCAATTGGCGAGTTTAATAATGTATTAGATATGCATCTTATATTCATTTTAAAGCACTGATGGATCTATGAGTCGCATGAAACAAAAGCTCGCGTAACCAACCCGCAGTAGCCTAGCCTCGTGGAGGATAGTCACCCAACCCCCGCACGACTGACACTTAGTGGGACCGGCTTCTTTAAGCAGTAGCTTGAGCAAATAGCTGTCAATTATTATAATAATACTTCCATAAGTATCATTCATTTTATATTTTCTTGTATTTCCACGACTATCTACGACTTTGTGGGAAGCCAACAGTGGGTATTTCTCCTATGTATACACAGGACACCGCTGTATGGAATGCCCACCAGTCACTTGGGGGTGTGAAATAACGTGAGTAACCGCTCCAAGCTAATTTTAGACGCAAACTTTTACCGCGTTTAAAATGTGCTCTGGTCTACCTCGCAAGAAATATTAGTACGGCTGGCATGGTTGGCTCCGTACGATGCGAAACAACTTCAACATACATGCATAAATATCCGTCATTCTCTGCTCTTTAAGCAAATTAAGTGAACACGTTTTCGTTAGATAAGCCCATGATTGGGTTGGCATGCGAGTCATCGTTAACACATTTTTTTCCCGAATCACCGTGCAATGATGAGCAATGAAGGGGAGGTTGGGGGTGGGGTGGACGTACCAGGGTGCAGAAGTGGTCAGGTGGAGTCCCGCACGTGATGTCCGGCGGGTCGAGGCGCACCTTGGCAAACTTGGTCATGTCGGTCGCCTCGGGCTGGCACGCGTGGTACTCCCAAGCCGGGCCCCTCCTCCGTGTGAATCATGCTCTTGCACTGGTCGTAGCGATCCCTTTCGGCCGACGTGAGCGCACCCAGAAGTAGCCAGCAGGCCTGTGCCGACAGCAGCGCTTGCACGCCCGGCCACATGATTCCTCGCCTTTGTCGCATGAGCCGGTAGGGAGATGATCCCTCTTCCTCCTTTTTTACACGCTTATTGCACTGTGCATTAACACGGTTAATGCTTTGCTTCGTCTTCCCCTTGTGTGTGTGTGTATAGTACGATTGTTATTGTTATATATAAATATTCCTTCTATTATAAATGTAATGTGTACTTATTATCTATACGCTGGCAGTCTTTATTGTTAATTGCAGCGACAACTTTGAAGGGGAATCCCCCCCTCCCCCTTCTATGTGAGACGCGCTGCTATGTGTCGTCTTCGTTGCATTGCAATCCAGATCTCCACTGGTTGAGCCGGCGCCGCCAGGTAACAACCGCAGGGGAGTCGACGACCAGCGGTGGTCTCGGAACGCGCACGCCACGCCGACGTTTTAAACACTTCTGGCGAGCAAAACAAAAATGCGTACACAAAAATCAGACAGTCCCGTATTTCAATTGCTGTGCTCTATTGCTATTCTAAGTTATTCAGTAGTATTAACTAACTGTAGTTAGTACCTTAATTACCACGAGAGACGGCTGTTGTGTTGTAGCGATATAAAACTATGTTGGTCCCGCGCTACGCCTTGCTTGATTTAAGAGATCATCGCAATTCCGAGGCGCTGTCCGTGGTGCTGAATCGGGACGCTCCGCACTGCCCTCCACTTAAAGTGAGCGCAGCCGACTGTCTTTAAAAAAAACACTTCGTTAGAGCGAACGAGCACACACATACGCACGCACATAAGCACGAACGCTGAGCAGGAGTGTGCGGTAACTGCTGCCTGCTGCTACAGCTACTGCCGCTACTGACAGGGATGGGGAGGAGGTGAAATGAAACCGGGGAGAAGAGTGGGGGTGGGGGGCGAAGGGGTGGGGTGCTGGATGAAGAGGATGGGCTAGGAGGTCACAGCAATAGGATATAGACGTGGAGGAGAGAGAGAGAGAGGGGCAGAGTTGCCGAGTTGGGGGAAGCTTTGCGCGCGACACAGAGCAACGCCGTGGAACGCACGCGGCTCTCGCGCCAGACAGGGGCTCTCTCGCACCGCGGCACTCTGGCAAAAATGCGCGCTCGCCGACTCCCAAGCGGAACTGCGAGAGCGTCACCGGGCACTTTGCGCACTGGTGCGGAGAGGGTGGTGTACGATGCAGGGGCGGTGGAGGGAGCAGGAGAGGGCGAAGGGGGGGAGGGGTAGTGGATGAAAGGGGGCGATCCAGTCCCGGTGGGGAGTGGTGGCGCAGACGGACACAGGGAGACTCACTAATATCCGCCACAGCGATTCGCTCGCTTAGGATAAGTGGACGAATGTTGCGACTTTATTTAAAAAAATCGAGGGCGTTTTACGTGAGAACTCTACGCAAGAAGAACGCCGTCTTAGCATGCAAGATTGTTAAATACAAAGGCCGTGTAAATATGTGCATGCGTTTTATAGGTATATGTGATCACGTCTACGTTGCACAACGATGTTGCGTTATGTATGTACTCGAATGCATATTAATCAAGGCATCGGTGTTTTTTTTCCTCGCCTCTGTGCTGTAGAACGGTTTTGTTGGGCGTGTTTCATACACTTATTGCAGTATTTATTACTAGAGTCTGCAGTGTGTCGTCTTCTTCCTTTAACATATGGTAGTCTTCTGCAAATTATATACCAGTATCCAATCTCTTGTTCATACTGTTCGCTTATATATATATGTGTGCGTGTGAACTGTGGGTCTTTTTTGCGCTTCTTCCTTTATAAAGCTTCACAGACACCGTTGAAAGGAGTAACCCCCCCCCCCCCACCATCTTAAGAAAACCCATACGCCGTTTGTTGTCTTGGTTGCAGTCTCGGCCGGCACCGACACAGCTACGAACAGCGCAGAGGTGCCAGACGACACCGCGTATCCGGGAGAGCAACACCGCTGCTGCTGACGTTTTGACATAATGTTTTGGGAATCGAAACGCCATACAAAGTCGGACGGTCCGTATTTTTAATCGCTGTATCGTTTCGCCATTCCTATTAAGCAGCAGGGTGTCAATTAACATGTATAAACTGTCATCATCGATAGAGGATCAAAGCAGCAGCTGTGTTACAATGCTAACTGCAGCGAGCGCCGTGCCTTGCTTGGTTTAAGAGTTGTTCGCAGTCCCGAGGCGCTGTCCCTGGTGCTGAACCGCGCTCCACTTTAAGTGAGCGCAGCCGTCTCTAAAGCCCCACGACAACACACGCACACAAGAGAGCAACACCAGGTAGGCGTCTCCGGCAATGCTGCCCGCCCGCCCTCCCGTTTGCCTGCCTACCTGCTGCGGCAGCTACCCCTGCTGCTGCTGCTGCTGTTACTGACAGGAACGAGGAGGTGACGAAAGCTATGCCGGTGGAGAGACGTGCTGGGTGTGAAGAGGATGGGCGGGGAGGTCACAGCAACATGGTTATAAGTGTGGAGCAGAGAGATAGAGAGGCGGAGTTTTGCCGAGTTTGGGGAAGCATTGCGCGGGGAGATTGAGCAACAGCGCCGAACGCACGCGGCCCTTGCGCCAGACAGGGGCTCTCTCTCTCTCGCACCGCGCTCATGGCAAAATGCGCGCTCGCGGATTCGCAAACGGAGCGGCGAGCATCACCGGGCGGCCGCGTGCGAGAGTGCGGAGAGGGTGGTGTACGATGCAGGGGTGGTGCAGGGAGCAGGACAGGGGAGGGGAGGGGGGTATCAGGAAGAGGGGTGAACCAGGCGCGGTAGGGGGGTGGTGGCGGAGACACGGAGAGACTCGCTAATACCAATCACATCGATTCGCTCGCTTGGGCCAAGCCGATTATTGTTCTGTCAGATGTGTGCTTTGACTTTATGGGAAAAAAAAAACATGCGCGTATGTTGTGATAACTGTATAACAGCACGACTACTACATGTGCTGTGCAACACATAGGTGGTGTGCATGTATTGCTTTGCGCACGTGTATGGCAATACAGTATATATTTACTACATAATGCTATTGCGTGATGTTTGTAGCCAACTGCATATTAAGCAAGATATCAATGGCACCCCTTCTCCTGTAAAAAGGCGTATTAGGGCGCGTTTTATAAACGTACTGTATTATGTAACAAGAACAAACAGATATAATCCTCATTTCACCGATGGCATTCTTTATACACCTACATGACAGTCGTCATTATTGTATGCATACCGTTCGCTAATTGCAATACTGGATGCGATCTTCCTTGGCACTTCTTCCGTTTGAAAGCTTCAGCAAAACACTTTCAAGGGCGGCTGTCGTTTGTCGACTTCGTTGCATTGAGATCCACAATGTTCAGGAAGATGCGTTTGGCCCAATAAATAATTAACAGTCGTTCGTGTACTGTAGCGATCTACCTGCTCTTTTGCTGGACACCCCTTAACGCCCTCCAGAAATGTAAACCCTCCGCTAGCCCCGCCATCTACAGGTGGAGAAGGGGAACTCGCATGGTGTTAGGAGGCGTCGTTCGCGGTTTCACTTGGAAGAACAGCAATCACTTGAAATTGCACCACTGCCATTAGAACCCAAGAGACCTGCCTGGAGAAACGGCGACAGCTTTGCAGCTGCCGGCGAACCTTTTGAGGGCGTTGTTGCTGATTGGCACGGTTGGCTACGTACGGCGCGAAATAAGTTCAACGTACTGTGCGTACAGACTGTTGTTGAAGCCTTGTTGCCACGTGGTCAGCCACGCGTTTGCACGGGGCGGGGGTGGGAGGGGTCCTCGACCGAGATGCAACCTCGACTAACATATCGATCGCTCGAGCTCGATCAGCCACTGAGCGCTCGTCGAGTAAAATGCTGAAGGCCACAGTTTCAAAGACGTCTGCTTGCATAGTTAGCCGAGCATTTACTTAGCGATGCGGTGTTCTCGTGTTACAGTACCAGTAGATGCCAGTATCGTGTTATACTGTCGGTGACAGTACAGGAGACCCCTGAATATCGAGGGGGGTGGGGGTGGTTACGTTCTTGGAAAGTTCCGCGAAAGTCAAAATGGCAATATTCAAGCCTCAAGCCTGACCTAAATCAGGGGGTTAGGTTCACGGCAACCCACAGTTTCCAACATCACAATTGAAATAAGTACTGTACTGTATGCCAAATAAACTAAACACTAAATAATGTAAATGAACATGTAAAAACCCGATACAAATAAAAAACAAGTCGTCGACAATAAATAGTGCAGTATAATATCCATATAGTGTTGCGGTGTAGGTAACAATAGATAACCTCGGGGCCTATTTCCTGTGCATTTCAGCTTTGCAACGTTGCCGCCTATCTCGCTAACCCTGCTCGGTCCGTGACCAACAACTGACGATGATGATGATGGGCAGGAGGATACCGACGTGGGATTGGCGTGAAGTAGAGAGTTCGAGGTTTATTTAATGCGTACACGGATAATCCCATTTAGCCAGTTGCCCGGCTATTTTACAAGGGACGACACAAACATAATATTGCAGAGAACGAGTAGACGGTCGTTCTAGAATATTACACAACTAATTAAACGAAACATAAAAAGCACAAAAAACCTGCAAATATAGTCAGAGCAAGAGGCGCCAGAAATAGGTACAGGCGGTCATCGACTTACGAACGCCCGACTTAAGAACAACCGCAACTTACAATCCAGCTTCTATGAAAAATATATCTAACAAATAACATCGATTTAAAACGCGAACTCGCACTTTAAAACTGAACCGCGGAGTTATTTTGTTTAGAGGAGGGACCCTTCGTGAGATGTAGCGAGTGTAACGATGCTTCTCTTCTTGTTGCTGAGTCGTAACACGTTTCATAACACTAACCGTGTGTGAATTTAAATGCAGTGCATTGGTGTGTTCTGACTTATGAACCGTTCCACTTACGAACGGGTCTTAGGAATGAATTAGGTTCGTAGGCCGAGGACGGCCTGTATACGTGAAGGTATACTCGCTGTTTTAGTTTAACACTGACACGAGCACACGCGAATCGAAAGAGACAGCGCAAACATAGCGTGGGGCGCAAGAGGCGCCAGAAAAAAAACAAAAACAAAGTTTAACACGTCAGCTTTCGCCATCACGAAATCTCTATGTTTTGGTATAATAGGGAAACAGTGAAGATGGTTGTTGTATGTAGGGGAAGGTGGAAGGTGGGTGGGGACAGGTGGAGGATACATTATGGAGAGAATCAACTACCAACCACGTGAACTTACTCTCATTAGCCGAGCCGTTTATTGTTCCGACTTCATAAAAAAAAACCAGCGCCACCAGCTTGAAAAGCATGCAGCAATAAGTACTGCGTGTGGAAATTTTGCATGCGAAGTATTGATTTATATTTGCTACCCACGCATTTCAAAGCACATTTTCTTAAATTACATCAGTAGCTTACTGCACACACTCATCAACGTATCAATGCTATTGCTTTTAACGAATACAGCTGGACCGGTACATATTCT